ACCAGCGCTGCCTACCTGAGCCCCTAGCCGCGGCCTTGGGGTCCATGCCTGCGTCTTGGGGTGGAGGTCTCGCGGTCTCTGCTGTCGGCCTCTCTTCCGCTCGCCGCTCCAGGACTCCCCTCGCCTGCAGCCCGGGGACCCCCTCCGCCTGCCGCTCTGAAACTCCCCTTGCCTGCTGCTCGGGAACTCCCTTCGCTTGCTGCTTGGGGGCTCTCATCACCTGCTATTGGGGGACTTTCTCCCTTCCCCTTGATTGTTCCTCCACGCGCGTGCTACGCGGAAGCGCCTTCGTGCTCGGTGGAGGAGCAACTGGAACTTCATCGTCATCCGACCACTTGAACATTGCGGTACTCTGCGTTCGAGTGGTCTGCTCACCGCCAAGCGATATGATGCCCGGCTTGAGGGGAGCGGCACCCACCGTCTTTCTCATCTTCTGGGCTGGCTCATCTGCCACTGCCCTCTTCTCTCGGACTTTCTCCGACACCGGGGATGGACTCTCCGACGAGATGCTGACGACTCCCTCTTCAGGCTGTGTCGGTGGTCGGGCATCTACTACCTACGGCAAATCACCCCTCGGCATGCCCGAGAAGTACACCGCTCTTTCCTGCGAATGGATCTTCGCATAAGTGAATCAGTCCACTACTCGGCAACAACAGAAGATAAAAAGCGTCAGGAACACACAATTGAGATATTTACCTGAGGAGGCAGATTTTTGCAGTGAAAGGGTCTCGTCTGCCCTGGCAAGTTGAACGAGGCAAATGGAGCGAATAGCTCTGCAGCCTGCTCTTGCACTATATCCCTCGACAGCATTTCCGTCCTCTCCCGGGTACTGTCGGTCTCCCCCTTGAAATCAAAGGCTGCGTGAGCCCTCTCCTTGCAGGGCTGGACGCGGCGCACTATAAAGCTCACCGCCACCAATCCACCATTGGTCTTCACACCCTTTATTAAGCCAAGGAGCTCCTTCACTTGCTCCATATCAGCACTGCTTGGCATCTCCGACCAGCTCTTCTGGCTCTCCGGGATGTGGTCGACGTCACAGCGGACGGCAGGGTGGCTCTGCTTCATATAGAACCACCTGGTGTTCCACCCCTTCAGCGACTTGTTTAGCGGCACAGTAAGGTACTCGCCCGCCATTCCATCGCGCAGTTGAAGATACACTCCGCCGACCACCTTGGAACCATCGCCGCCTCTCTTCGTCAGCCAGAACAGGTGGCGGAAGAGGTTGAAGTGGGGAAGGATTTCGAGATACGCCTCACAAAAATGGATGTAGATAGATATGTGCAATATGGTGTTTGGGTGGATGTTGCACAGACTGACTCTCCAGAACTCTAACAAATCCCTCAAGAACGGGTGAACAGGAAAACCTAATCCGCGCCAAAAGTAGTCCTCAAATACTACAGCTTCATCGGTATGAGGCATTGGAAAGGGCTCACCGAGGGCCGGCCGCCATCCGGCGGTGACGCGGTCGGGAAGAACGCCTGCCTCCACCAATCTGTTGAGCTCCGCCTCCCCCGTGCGCGACGGCACCCACTCTTCGTCACGGCTGGCTCCAGCGCTCGCCTTTTTTGGGCTCGCCTTCTTTGGGTTCACAACTCCCATCTTTGGCGCCATCTCTCAGATCCGGATGGGGACTGGCGGCGGAAGCGCGCGTGGATGTGAATCTAGAAATGCGAGGGCTAAGGAAGAAGATGAAATGGCAAAGTGGCAAAGGTGGGAGAGCGGGATGCGATGGCGCAGTTATAAAGCACTCCCCCCACCTTTTTGCATTCGAGGGTTTTTGGGAAACCGTTCCCGCGATTTGCGCCTCTCTGAATTCTCTGCAACAGCAAGGTGGGCCGTTATCTAGCTTTCGAGCAAACCGCGGCCCGTATCGACGATTTATCTCCGCAATTTGTTACGGCTCGCCGAATATTCGCTGACTTCTCCGCCAATGGTTACGGCTCAGTAGTTATTACTGTACAACCATTACGCCGGTATTTTCTCTGTGATTTAATTTCTCCAAGATTTCCTCTTATGGCTCGGGGACTGCGTCAACATTCCGTCTTGGTTCCTCACTACATTGGGGATATTTCTTTAGTTGACTGTTGTTTCTGACCCTGGCACCACGTGACCACGTCACCTACTGTCAGGCTCGGGGACTAAGTGGGCATACTTCACCTTACGGTGAATGTGCTTTTTCTCATTTTAGGGCTACGCCCGTGGACTGGCTATCTGCTCGGTTGGTCTTCTACTATTCTTCTACTTTGAACCCTGGCACCACATGACTACATCATCTACTGTTAGGCTTGGGGACTAAGTGGGCACACTTCACCTCGCGGTGAATGTGTTTGCTTTATTCTAGAAGACTCCGCGCCTCTTGAAGCTGAAGAAGACTATCTCTTTTTCTCGTGGTCGGACTCTAAGTGGGCACACTTGGTCCACTGCGAAGAAATTTTTGATTCTAAACTTGAGCTCCTTACACCCTTATGGCAAGCCGTACTTGGGTTACACTGCTCGGCGACGGTTCACGCTGCTCGGCAACTGCTCACAACTGCTCGGCATCTCATCACGGTGGTCGGACCATGAGTTTAACTGCTCGGCTTTGTTCGCACCTGCTCGGACAAGCTCAAGACGGCGTTGCACAACGGGTACAAGGCGCTCGGGGACTAGCTGTGGAGGGTACAACCTCGAATACCCATGGCAGACCACATGGGCTGCCCCCCAGTGGTGGCCCAGCCCACAAGACGAGACCTTACGGGGCACGACGCTGCTCGGCATCTCCCGCAAGGCACCGGGAAGATATTCTGAAGATACTACGAGATCTGTTAGGATACGTATGATCCAAAAATTCCTATAATCTGTTATTACTTTCTGGTTATCTCTCAGATCTAACCGACTTGTAACCCTGCCCCTGGACTATATAAGGTGGGCAGGGACCCCCTCCAAACTCACGCAATATCATACGATAGCCAATACAATCCAACAGACCACAGGAGTAGGGTATTACGTCATACTAACGGCCTGAACCTTTCTAACTCGTGTGTCTCTGTTGCCTTCTTATTCTTGATTACACGCCTCTCTGCCGATCAATCTACCTTCGTGGGATACCCCTCAGAGGACTGCCGATGATATTCTGTCGACGACTGCGACCCAAGAAGCTCCCGTCCTCTTACCCTACCGGTGCCTCGTCGCTGTCCCCGCTAGAGCCCATCCCCTCCGGTGCGAAGGTGGAGAAGGCCCACGCCGGCGCCCTCTGCGGGCCTCGTCACCAATCCCCGCTGGCGGCCCCTCTTCTTCCCCGCCGTCGGCTGCACCTCCTCTTCTCCTTCTTCGCCCTCCTCCTCTTTTCCTGCAACGGTGATGGCAAGGAAACGGGCCGTGCAGTTTGGCGTCGAGCCGAGGCGGAGTGCGCGGCCCGACATTTTAGACGGGAGCGGCCGGTATAGAATTTCCTTTGTCGAGCAAGGAGGAGGCGTGAGAGATAAGTGGTTGTCCTGGATTGACAAAATTCTCTCTTCTGGCACCTCCTCAGTCATTCTTAATGCAGTCTGTGGGAAGAAATTCACTTGCAAACGGGGCGTCCGCCAAGAAGATCCTCTATCCCCCACTGCTCTTTGTTCTTGCAGCAGATTTGCTTCAGCCTATCGTTAACAAGGCAACCTCCCTGAACCTCCTCAAAGCACCAATCCCACAGGGCAAAGACTAATTCTTCATAGTGCAGTATGCCAACGACACTCTTTTGATTATGCAAGCTGATGCCCGACAAATTGTCTACCTCAAAACTCTGCTAAATAGTTTTTTCAGAGTCGACCGGGCTCAAGGTCAACTATACCAAATTGCAGATGATCTCGATTAATGTTCATGAAGAGAAAATGAGTCACCTGGCGAGAACCTTTGGCTGCATTGTAGGAACAATGACTTTCACCTATCTAGGCCTCCCGATGGGGACAACTAAGCCAATAATGGACGACCTCACGCCGCTGATGGACAGAATTGAGCGATGTCTCACATCATTCTCCTCTCTGCTCTCCATTCCGGAAGGCTACAAATGGTTAATTCTATCATAACCCCAATGACAACTTATGCGCTTTGCACTTTGAAGATACCTCTTGGAGTTATTGCCAATATTGATTGCGCGCACAAACAATGCCTTTGGAGAGGTAACGACACAGATAAGAAAGGAGGCAACCTGGCAGCATGGCAATTAGTCGTCACCCCGAAATCCAAAGGTAGTCTTGGAGTACTTAATCTACGATTGCAGAATGATGCGTTGCTTCTCAAGCATCTCCACAAATTCTACAAGGAGAACATTCCTTGGGTGCAACTTATCTGGCACAGATACTACAGAAACAATGTGCGACATGCAACGCGTGAGGTCGGCACTTTGTGGTGGAAAGACATTCTAAGGCTTAGCTAGTTATACGGAACCATCACTCGTTCCACAAATTCTACGAAGATGTTCATTGTGCCATGTGTGTAACGGGAGAGGAAGAGGACACTGATCACCATTGTTGCACAACTCACAAGGTCTGCACGCCAGAGTTGCACTAGCCAGAAAGGTCTTCTTTATGCATGTTGTTCCCATTGTCGCGTGGGAGAGTTAGAAGATGAGGAACCAGAGGAATCTTCGACAATGAGAATTTAGCATCAATAGCCGGTTTGTCAATTTTAAGTCGCAATGCCTTCTTTGTCTGTTCGTTTCAAGAAAGATGCTAGGTCGTCCTTCTGTGTTTGGTTAGATGCTTTTAGTTAACTTGTACCTATAACAATGTCCTGTAAGTATCTCTAAATTTTCTGAATGAAAGTAACTGTGGGGATCTCCCTTCTCCCCCAACTAGATGACCCTGTAGGTGAATCGCGTGGTTTCAGTCCCAGCGCTCCTCTTTGAACACCGCTGTGAATTACAGAATTAGCCAATTAGATTCTGCTAATCGTGTTTATTTTATTGTCATCGTTTCATTTATGGTTACTTACTAAGTATATACAGCTTAAAACTTAGGAGGACGAGCAACACTACTCTTTCAGAGTGCAGTCGTTCCGTTTGCTATGCCACCGTGAGCGCCCCACTTCCACTTGTTCACGATCGCCGCGAGCGCCTTGCGTGACGGTCCCTCCGGCGCCAGCGCTTCAGCGGCCGCCATCTGCATGTCTGTCGCTTTCTTCCTCGCGGCCTTCCCCTTCTCCCCCACCATCAGCTCCCTCGCGACTGCCGCCACCTCCTCGCGCGACACCACCTCGCCCCTCGGACTCGCTGGGCGCAGCGCCAGCCCGGCCTTCTCCAGCAGCACCGCGTTCATCCTCTGCTCCGCAAACAGCGGCCACGCCACCATCGGCACGCCCGCGTCCATGGCCTCCAGGGTCGAGTTCCAGCCGCAGTGCGACAGGAACCCTCCAACGACGCGGTGGTGCAGGATCTCCACCTGCGGCGCCCACATCGGCACGCAGAGCCCGACGCCCTTGGTCCTCTCGCTGAACCCCTCCGGAAGGAACCTCAGCGGGTCGTCGTCGCCGCCTCCATGGCTCGCCGCGCCGAAGTAGCTCGCGCTGCTGTCGTTGTCGCTGGGGAAGTTCACCACCCACAGGAACCTCTGCCCGCACGCCTCCAGCCCTGCGGCGAGCTCGGCGGTTTGCTCTACAGACAGCGCGCCGCCGCTGCCGAAGCAGACGTACAGGACCGAGCCGTCCGGCTGGTCGTCTAGCCACCGCAGGCAGCCGTGCACGGCTTCCGCGTCCTCGGAGCACGCCCGGAGAAACGGGCCGACTGGGTAGACAGGAGGATACACACCTTCGTCGGACAACTCCTGGAACGCGGTTATGGTGTCGTGCTCCATCCCGTCGAAGGTGTTGACGACGAAGCCGTCGGCGAGGATTAGGTGCCGCGTCATCTCGACCAGCAGGGCGTACGCGGGGTTGGAGCGGTCCTTTACGGTGTCGAGGAGGTCATCGCCTCGCAGCGGCACGCAGCCAGGCAGCCGAACGGGCTCCGGGAGGTCGCGGTACGCGCAGGTGGTAGTGCTGTGGAGCTCCGGCAGGCGGAGCATGAAGGCGAGCGTCGCGAGGCCGGACAGGAAGGCGATGTAGGGCGGCACGCCTTGCTCCGCGGCGAGCGGGAGCGCCTGCGCGCAGAACATGTCGGCCAGGAACGCCACGACGTCGTGGGCGCTGACGAGCTCGGCGAGGAGCGCGCGGAGGTGCGGCAGGACCCGGGTGACGACGGTGAGCATGCGGGTCTCGATGCGGGCGTCGGCGGGGAGGTCGTCTAGTGGCACGGCGGGGAGCGCGGCCGTGGTGACGCATGCCGGTAGGGAGGCGAACACCGAGGCGTGCCTGGGCGAGGACATGCCGGAGTATGTGATGATCGTGGCGGTGAAGCCGTGGTCCTCGGCGAGGCGCTTCGCGAGCTCGGCCATAGGGAGGACGTGCCCAATCCCGGGGCTTGTCAGCATGACGACGTGCGGCGCTTTTGTCGCGGACATCCTCCTCGTAGCTAGGCTACGTACACGTCTGTTGGGGAGTTGGGCTGTGGTGTCAGACTAGATAGCTAGAGTGTTCCCTGATGATTTTGCATGCGTGCCTGGCGCGGGGTACCAGGCAATATTTATAGTGCGTAGTGGCAACGTAAGTTTGTTTGCCCAGCGACTCCTTACACTAACAACGGCATGTATAGCCAGGGAATTTGGTTCTTCTTTTTTTTTTAAAAAAAAAGAACCGACAGGGAATTTCTTCTTTTAAAAAAAGAACCGACAAGTTAACTGTCAGTCTATATATTGATAAACACACAAAATATTACAACAAAGGAACACCACCACACAACCACAACGACAACGCAAAAAAAAAAAACCACCATAGCAAGCTCTGGCAACAAGGACCACCAAACAAGTTGTAGCAACATCCACGGTGGGAAGGGGTCCTCCCAAAGTGATGCCTCCTAACGACATCCAAGAACGTCGCCAACGCTGAACGGAAAAATCTATTTGAGATTTTTCAACCGAAGACCCCAAATGAACTGAAGATGGACTTCACGACAAAGCCTCCAATGAGAAGCAACGCATCATTCTGCAATCATAGATTAAGGACTCCAAGACCACCTTTGGATTTCGGGGTGATGACTAATTGCCATGTTGTCAGGTTGCCTCCTTTCTTCGCCCTGTGTCATTTGGACTTATTTGGCATATAAGCCATGGCTGAAAGTACTGTTGACTGGTTTGGTGTGAGAGAAAAATACTGTTCGTTGGCTGATAAGCCATGGCTTATAAGTCAAATACGACCAAGCGAACAGACTGCTTATCTCTTCGTCTACGCACTAACACAAAACTAGTAAATTAATCAATCCTATCGATCTGACCCTTCTAGACTATTTTCCGAGAGATGTTCTAAACCTCTCCATGAAATCCGATTTATAACTATTTATAAGGGTTAAAAATGTGTCCAACAACTTTTCTATTAGCCTCTCCAATTTATCTCGCTCTGTATCCCGTAACTTGCGCTCGGAAGAAAAGGAGAATGCAGTTCGCTCGCCATCCGGACTTGCAGCCTCTCTCCCGCGCTCCTCCACCTCCCGTGGACGCTCCATCTCCCGCGGTCATCTCCGTTCCTATGCTGCGCACGCGTTTCTGGCCCGTTCCCTGGCGACTGCCAATCGTGCCGTCCCAGCAAACTTTTCTACACTTCTTGGAACGTAATTCAGTTCAAGAAGCTGCCACTATTTGCAGCAATCAGCTTATTACCGTCTCCCAAAAAAAACTAATAAAGTTACTAGTCGCATACACCTTGGGAGTGCATGTTTGCATTATTTTTTCGGTTATTATAGAAATTTCAACTTCTGGACAGGATCATGCATGTCTGCAACCTCATCGGCTGAGAAAAAGAGCATCAAAATATAAGGAGTCTGCTGCGGTGCGCTAATTTTTGGAGAGCCTCTAAATCCTACTATTTGGAGATTCGTTATACAGGGTCTCACCTTGGAGATGCTCTTACTAGCTTTGCCTTTACTTTTCTCTGAAAGTTAACAGAACTGATCAACCCCATGCATTCTTTGAAACCAAAATCTGCCCCCAAATCGGAGCGAATGTGTCTCGCAATCATACTCGTCCATTTGCACTTCTAATTGAATTTGATATCTCGAGGACAATATTCTATTTCTATGACTTGCATAGTTGAATTGTACACTGAAATTCTAATTCCTTCCCAGTGCCCACTAGTCAATACATGACTATTTTCCTTCTTGTACGTTTTCTCTATTTGCGAGGGCAACTCATTACATATCTCACGATCACGGCAGCGGTCACGACGGCAGTAGGGTGATAGGGATAAGAGGGATGCGATGGAGAGAGAGAGAGAGAGAGAGCGAGAGAGAGAGAGAGCAGGTTGCTTGCGTTGAGCGGCGGTGATGTGGAGACGGCGGACCATCGGTGGTGGGGGTGTGGGCGAGCAAGAGAGAGCGCAACGGAGGACCATCGACGATGAGGACGTGCCCAATCCCGGGGCTTGTCAGCTTGACGACGATGTGCGGCGCTTTGGTCGCGGACATTTGTTGGGTTGTGGTGTCAGTCAGACTAGCTAGCTAGAGTGCGCTAGAGTGCTCCTGTATTCTATTACTCGTTGTAGTAGAAATACAACCTGATGGTTTCTGATGATTTTTGCATGCGTGCCTAGCGCGGGGTACCGAGCAATATTTATTAGCCTGTTCGCTTAAGTTGAAATTTGACTTATGCTAAAATTTTGTGAGAGAAAACATTGTTTATGGCTGAAAAGTAGCTCAAGCGAACATGGTCTAGTGGCAACGCGTTTGCCCTGCAATACTCCCCAGGGAATTTGGTTTCTCAGAACCTGTTCCATGCGCTTTTCCGTCCAGTTGTGCCACAAGAACCAAAAACCTTATCTTTTCGTCCACACAGCTAGTAAATGGTGTCGATCTGAGCTCCAGCTCCTTTTTCTTTATTTTGTTTTCGTGCAATTACCAGTCATGTACGATTGTGGATTGATTGGTGTCGGTTACGGGCAATGTAGGATTAGGGATTGATTGGAAAACACACATAATAGTTAAACGAGCGTAGCGAAACGCACTTATCTATCTAGTAGCATAGGTCTATATATGCTGCAAGCATGGGAACCCCAAGCCTTTCAAGCTGACGTATGCTCTAGCTTTTTGTTCAAGCCAACAAATCTGTTAGCATGCATTGATCGTGCCTTAATAATTTTAGAAAACCATACGTACAAATTAATAGTTTTGGGAGCTACGTGACACCATCAAAACAAGTTTAAGGACTGTTGTATTCTTAAATTTCTAGTGAGGTCACTGCTACTGTTATAACTCCCCAAGTTTTTTTGTTATATGAGAAAGCAAGGAAATAACTAATAAGAGAGAGAATAGCATGCTAACAAATTGGCATTCTTCAGAAGTTCCTAGTAAGGACTTCACTGACTAAGTGTTTCTACAAAACATGACTTCAACAGTTAGGTCATAGATGACGACATCCAAGCACCTGAGGGCACAACCAATGGAGGCTAAGGGCCTGTTTGTTTCCGCGATGCCGTATTGCACGTTCGCGTTTGAGCGAACGCGGCTCCGAGGCCGCGTTTTGGGAATCGTCGAGCCGCGTTCATTTTCTGCTGGGAAACGCACGAGCGCCGCAGACCGTTCGGCGGTGTTTTCCGCGCATCTCGGTCGCCAACGCACTTATGAGCGGAAACAAACAGTCCCTAACACTATTAGTAGTTCTAGTACAAATAAAGCGATCCACATAGACTAGGAAATATTGAGACTACTATTCACACAATGTAAACTATCACTACTTATGGTTTGCACATAAATTTTTTCCTTTCATCATGCATCACCTTTATTTCCTCTCCCTCTTCTTTTTTAGCATGGACCACCTTCTCTCTCCCTATGCATATGTAGCTTCTGCAAGCTACTATGACAAGTGCAGAACACCTACATTTTTTTATCCGTTCCTACATGGCTCTTGGGGTTACAAATAAAAAAACAGTGTTGGGGAAAGCCTGAATGGGGGCAATACAAATTGTTCAAGCACAAAGAGGCACATATGACCTAATTGATTAGGTCATCTAACTCTTCAACTCCAATCATAAGGTCCTGACAAGTGGGGTGCCACCGCAATTTAGCAGCCTACGACGACAGAGACGTGTGGGCGTGTGGGCCTGTGGGGTGTGCCAACCCAAAATGAAAAGTCACGCAGCTAAAGTCTAAATGATCATTAAGGGCTTCTCCAGTGGTGAGTCGGCTCACCATGAAAAAAACTGACAAATGTACGTTTTTGTGGTTGGACTCTTGCTTTTTCTAGTGGTGAGTCGACTCCTCCAGCAACTGGCCACGTATATACAAATAAAAAACTACAAGCCTGAAGCCTCTCAGTCTCGAGTCTCTCTCAGCGTCTCTCTCTATTCTGATTTTTTAATCACAATTAACCGATGCAAGAATATGAGTCGACTTCTTCTCTCTTCTTCTTTGAGTCGATTAGTCCAGTGGTATGAATCGATTCACCGTGGTCCAGCTAGGACTCATGAGTCGCTTTTGCCTTGCCACTGGAGAAGATTGAAGTGATGAAAACCCCTAACTAAACCTGGTAATGGTTTGGTCCAAGCCAGATTTTTTGGTTTGGTTTCTTATTTGGGCCTGCATGGTTTGAGTGAGAATGACTTGGAGAGTCTAATGGACTTGTTGGGTTTGGAATTGGTTTCTGATTTTTGGACTTGGGACCGTGGTTAGGTTAACGGTGTGAGACTGAAAAGCTACGAACTTTTGTAATCGGGAGATACGTATACTAGTTGTCGGGGACAAATACTAGGGTACCCGAAGAGGAGGGGCTAATGATTGTTATATGTTAATCAATCCAGGCAGTCAAAGGTGCGACTACAGCTCCAACAGGCATCGAGGCCGCAGGCTCCGCCTCGCCCGACCTCTGGCCGCGGGCTCCGCCTCGCCCGACCTCTGGGAACGGGCTCCGCCTCGCCCGACACCGAGGTCGTGGCTCCGCCTCGCCCGGCCTCTAAGGGCGGGCTCCGCCTCGCCCAACCCCAAGGTCGTGCGATCCACCTCGCTCGACCTCTGGGGACGGGCTCCGCCTCGCTCGACACCGAGGCCGCGGGCTGCGCCTCGCCCGACCTCTAAGGGCGGGCTCTGCCTCGTCCAACCCCAAGGTCGTGCGATCCGCCTCGCGAGACCTCTGGGGACGGGCTCCGCCTCGCCCGACACCGAGGCCGCGGGCGATCTGTCTCGCCTGACCTCTGGGAACGGGCTCCGCCTCGCCCGACACCGAGGCCGTGAGCTCCGCCTCGCTCGACCTCTAAGGGCGGGCTCCGCCTCGCTCAACACCAAGGTCATGCGATCCGCCTCGCCTGACCTCTGGGGACGGGCTCCGCCTCGCCCAACCCCAAGGTCATGCAATCCGCCTCGCCCGACCCTTGAGGGTGGGTTCCGCCTCGCCCGACGTCTGAGGGCGGTCTCTGTCTCGCC